GGAGGTGGTAGCTCTTGGTTAGCGCACGCATGCGGCACCCGTCACCCCGCATGGTCAGTGCTAACCAGCACCAGCCGCACGGGTTGGGGGGCGCCGAGTATGCCTTGCGCCTAAGCCCCTGCACCGCGACAAGGTGCCTACCATTCGCAGAGGATGGTAATATCTAACATATTATTCATATACCAAAAATTCTTGTGAACTGGATCAGTTCAGTTTTTTCAAATTACAAATTACAAAAAAAAACATTTTTTTTTATTTCACTAACTACTTTTATTAAAATAAGCTTTTAACAAAATAGGATGCAAATTCATGTCACAGTGAAAATGGTCCACCCTAGCAGAGCTGCGATAAATAATGGAACTTTTTCTTAATCTTATGTTATTTTGGTCTGTTCACTTCATTTACATTCTTGCGCTGAAATGAACACGTGCTTAATATAGTAATAAAATTATTTAGTTCTTAAATTCAAGATGGGCCGCCAAACTACAATTGAGTTGCGAAAATTAATTATTGAACATCATAAGAATGGAAAGTCTCAAAGAGAAATTGCCAAAATTGTTGGAAAAAAGCCCGAACAACAGTTGAAAACATCATTTTTAAATTTTAACGCCGAGACTATTAGAAGAGTCCTTCGAAGAGATGGTATTATAAAGCCTTGGTTAGAAAGAAAATTAAAAAAAGCCCTTTTAGAAGAATGGGATAAAATAAGTCTGGAATATACCAAAAAGCTAGTGGAATCTATCCCAAATCGTTTAAAGTCTATTATTCGTCAAAAAGGATATCCAACAATACATTAGTAATAAGTTTAATAGTTGCTGTAATGGGCCATTTTCATGTGACGTGAATTTTTCTCCTATTTTTTTAAATTCTCATTTTTATGAAAAACCTAATTGAATTAAAAATGCTTTATATTTATAATATATATATTATATTTATAATATGATATGAAATATATCAAAATTTTTTGTATTTATAAGGATTTTCCAGATTTGCTTGCAGTTAAAAGCACTTGTTTACATGTGGACCATTTTCACTGTGAGCCACTGTATATAAAGTGGGTGCCGCGTAAGTTTAGAATTCAACAAAAACAACGAATTGCTGATTCTGAGGAGTCTTTAATCGTAATAAAGCCGAATTCATGCATTGGTATGATCGACTGTTTACTGAGCCAGTTATGATCCATTACTTGATTACGGTTGTTCCATTCTACCATTCCTAATATTTAGCAATTGTATTATTTTTGAGGTTTGAAATTGTGCGCATGTACTTCATCGTTTCCGTTTAAATATTGCACTGCTCTGAGCAATGTTTCCAAAATATTTTTGTATATCTCTACAGTTACCTCGCTATTTTTTTATGCTAGATGTCGCCCATAATCTAGCAAAGTATTGATTTTCTTCCGCCGCGGCTGTACATCGGAGCGTGCGCCCACCGATTGGATTCGGTATAGGCCGTTCTTAGCTTACGAACGGGCGGCTGGTCAGTTGCGTCCGAGCACTTGGATAATCAGGACATACATTTTCTCGCGACGTGTTTCTGTAAGTGGTGCAAGACCAATGCTACGTTCGTAAGAGCAGAAGTACGCGATTAAATTCTGTGTGGAACTCGGTAAATCAGAGACAGAGACATTTGATCTCATCAAGTAGGCTTACCCAGATGTTGATTTAGCAAGAAGTAGTGTGTTTCGGTGGCAACAGGCCTTTTTGAAGGGCCGGAAAGCGGTTGCTGATAAGGCCTGTGCTGAGAGACCTGCGACTTCGACAAACACCGACAACGTGACTCGTGTGCGCAAAGTTTTGAACACAGACCGTCGACTAAGTCTTCGTTTCATTGCCCAGACGTTAAATTTCTCAAATCTTGCACAAGATGTGCGCGAAGATGGTCTCAATAGTGCACACTGGCGGCCAGAAATTGCGGCGAGTGAAATTTGAACGTGTGTGAAAGTGACCCCCAATTGTTTAATAACGTAATCACAGATTACGAGTCATGGCTCTTTAAGTATGATCCCGAGACAAAGAGGCAATCTTCCGAGTGGCACACGCCATTTGACGCCTTCAATGCTTGGAAATAACACGCTGGCAACCATGCATCGACGTAGAAGTAGCCTATTTTGAAAGTTTTTAAAGAATATTAATGATTGGTTCAACAAATTTCTTCAAATCGACTCAGTCCTATTACTTTCCTCACATAGCCTGTGGCCACGGTGCCTTGACAACGAAAATGTCAATGCCATTTTTTGTTGTGATATTAAAAATATCTGATGGGTTCGTCCTAAAAAACTGCTTTTTTCAGGAGCAATAACCTGTATAACTCATATATTACATAAGTATGTATGCATAGGAAAATTAGTGTTCTGCCGCTTTAAATCTGCGTTGTTATTTTTTTACTTCTATATATATTTTTTTTAAGTAAAATTTTTAAATTATTCCTACATGAATTTTTAACACATGCCTGTGCTTTGAAATACAAGTTTGGTATTTATGAATTGTATTGACTTTTAACATAAAGTCATAAAATGTCATATGTCCGTCCTCTGGTTCTAAGCTACCATCCCACAAATTTTCAGTTTTCAGCCTAATCGGTTCAGCCGTTCTTGCAACTAACACGACTTTTTTTTATATTTACGGTGAGCGTCAAAAATAAGTAAACGCGAAATCTGAGAAATAGTTGGAAGACGCTATTGCACAATAAAAAAAAGTTATTGAAAGGTGTGCACGGTTTTGTTCTGCACAAATTGACTAACGAATAAAAATTTCTCAGAATCGAACATTCGAAGGACATCATTAAAGAGGTCAAAAAGGACAAAAACTTCAGTTGCACTATTGTGACTGGTGACGAAACGTGGTATTTCTAATATGATCCCGAAACGAAACGCCAAAGAGCTGTGTGGAAAGCACCAGAAAAGCCGAAACCCCAAAAATTGCCCACGGAGAAGTTAAAATTCAAGACAAAGCTGATTTGTTGTTATGATTCCAAGGGTATTGCCCACAAAAAATTTGTTCCACCCGGCCAAAACGTTATTGCGGTATTCTACCTTTTAATGCAATTTTATTATTTGCATGTCGTTATTTAAATAAGATAACGGACAGTTCCATTTGTTATATTTATCAGAATTTTAGATGTCACTTTTTGAAAGTAGCAACGGTCCAAATTTTTCATAATTTTGTAACCAATCTACATTTTACCTGCAGCAATAGATTTGACGGAGATGCTTCGAAGCTGACTCTAACCCTTACTACGATAATTCATGTGTGAAATTTACGGAATATCTAAAGCTTACAAAATGTGTTTGAAAACTTTTCGTGAATTCAGTGCAAATTTGTATTACAATAGAAAACACTGGATGTGCAAAAAAAGGAAATCTGCATTAGAATTCTGCGAAAAGTGCACTTTAAACTTTAATAACAGCAAGTCAGTTTTAGACAATATCATTCTATTCTTTTTTAATAGACAAACTTTATGTATCGTGTAAAAACATTATAATGCGTAATTAAGTTTGTACAGCCGGCATTAACAAAAAATATTAAGGATAGTTGTTAAATAGTGTTAACAAAAGCTAAATATGATATACATAAGAGACGGGCAGTGTTATTAATCAGTGCTGAAGGGAAATATTACATGAATAACAAATCATGAATTTCAAAAGATTGCACTATTACTGCTTCGTGAAAGTACGGCGTATTACACTGAAAAACCACATATTTCACCAACAAATTTCTAGCGGTTGTGAATGCAGAAAACTGTTCCACGACTAAAAAGATTTTAATTGCGTCGACAGTTATATGAACAGAGATAGAAAGAGATATCCCTACAGGTTTCTGAATAACAAGATACAATATTGCAAAATTCGTTTGATCCAAAACTTGTGTCAATGAACAATCAGAGTGATACACAGCCTCCAGACCAAAAATGTGAAGTCTTGGTTTATACATCAAAGAGGCACTTTACCAAAATAGGAATGAAACAGGATAATTTATTTCCACTCAATAATTCGTCTTATCAGATGATTACTCATCACGACAAAAGTACCTCACGGCAACACAGTGGTGTCTCTTATAGTAGCGGCAGTTCATCTCCAACGGATTTATCTTCGAAGCATGCTAATGTGATTTTTCAAGAGCCGCAACTTCAGAACGGTATTGCATGTAAATTGAGGTCGTACAATGAGGCACGCCGCCAGAGTTTCTTCACTCATAGAGCCAACGATGGAGAAGATCACGTATCGCAAGATTCTCAACTTCTTGCAAAAGGTGAGTAAAATACTTGACAGTATGCATCCGAAAAATATTATAAGTAGGCTAGTTAATAGAATCGAACAACACAGACGTTTCTAGTTCCAATCACGCACTGTCAATTGCCACAGCTTATTTATGCTGTATACTTTGCAAAAAAATCCCAAAAATGAAAAAAAAAAAATCTTTGGCGACGCGATCTCATGGTATGTACGGATGGAAGAGATTAAAAAATCTAGTCACCTCCGACTTACAGTTTCCTAAATTTTTGTTATAAAACTTCAAAAATTGTGATGCACGCTACTTCACTTTTTTTAACACACTTTTTTATTAATAAATTTTTAATTACTCATTATAATACAGCTATGTACAAAATCTTAAAATTGTTTAACTATCTAGACGTTACAGTTTATAAAAAAATCAGCGTAACAAGTCGGCTTAATATTCAATTAAAATTAGAATTTAACAACACTGTAACAATAAGTAGTTGCCATATATTAACTGTCCACTACCAGAAATGCACTGTCAAAAAAATTGCATCTCCACTTAAATTTTGTTAATTAAAATAGAATAGTAAAGCTGTAAATTAAAAATCATTTTATAGTATTTCAATTTTACATAAACAAAACTTTATTCTTAAACTTTGTTGTTTATGGTATGTTATAGCGGTACATCGTGCTTGTGGAAGCAATCCACAATCAGGTGTGCTGGTGTTTCCTTTTCCAAGTCGCAGAACCGGCAGTTTGCGCAAGAAGCTATGCCCATGTTAGACAAGTGCTTTCTGAGCTTAGCATGGTGAGCCTCCTCCGAGCGGAGCAGCTCCTTAAAAGTCCCGTCCCGTTAATCCTCTTTGTAACGTCGTCCCTTAGAACAAGGGCCAATGGTGTGCTTTTCCCTAGGGCCTTCATCTGTTGGGACGACATTGTCTTCCCTTTGCCGAAATGCTGACATTACCAGCAAGGTATGTTTCACTACATGTTTAATCACCAGGTGCAGCGGTGTGACCTCTAGTATGACTTCAAGCGCTAAGGGGCATGTGCGCATTATCCCTAAAGCACAGGCACAGGCGAACCTTTGTAGCTTCGATAGTTTAAGACCTACCGAAAACTGCGTTGCCTTGGCAGCCCAAGCATACACTCCATAGGTGACAATAGGCCTTACGATCATGGCATACAGCCAACTAACGACACCTGGCTTGCATCCCCAGGATCTGCCGGCCAGTCGCCTGCATATCATGAGCGCCCTGCTGGCTTTGAACAGTGTTAGATCCACATGCCTACTCTATCGTAAGGATGCGTCTAATGTGAGGCCAAGGAATTTGATCTCTTTGGGGATGAATATTACCTTCGCAATTCTCCATGGTACTGGGATATACGTCATCGCCGGGCTATTTGTCATCGGCGCTAACAAGTGTGTCAAGAGAATTTGTATACCCTGTTGCAAAAGAGCAGGAAAGATGCCATCCGCCCCTGGTGACTTACAGTTCGAGAAGGAGGAGAGTGTCCACCTGATTGATTCTGCAATGAACAAAATCCTTGCAGTCAATAAATCCAGGCGATCTGGCCTACTTGCGAGCAATGGTGAGATTAGGGTCAGTCTGAACCGTCACCAGGGAGCGCGCTTGCAGGTCGTAAAGGTCCCGTCCTGGGTTTTGAGGAATAATTCTGTGTCCGTCTTGCCTCTTGAAAAAGCCTTTTGCAAAATGGCTGCCTCAGGGGTCGAGGAGATTTTGTCACAGAATGTACTAAAACTGATTGGCTTAGCGCACCTAATTTCCTTGTTGTAGGTTTATGCGTTGCCTATATTCTTTCCAGTTCCATGTGCGCTTGGCTTTAGTGAACAGCCTCGCACCAATTGCTTAAGTACCGAGAGTTTGTTAGACCACCAGGAACAAGTTTGTTTTCTAGTACTCACCTTTAGTGGACAAACGCAATGATGGCCATCTCTCCTTGAAAGTAGGTTGATGCAAGTACGAAGTCAGAACCTTCCTTTTCCTTGACCTGCTCTGCCACAAGATCCTGCGTTAGAAACTCTGAAATACAGAAAAAGTTCAAATCGGTTCTAACCATTACATAATTATCTCTCCTCTATAAACCCATGGTTCCTGGATCGAGAAGAATAACAGGTTATCCGAGTTGACTCTCCTCACGATGATAGCCGAGGCTGCCATAGCGTGGTGCAGGTTCACCAGGGTAACTTCTATGACGGCGTTAGAGTTCACAAGATTGGCTCGATGAGAGACAGGTCTTCGTCCCTACCATCCTCACCAATCTGCATCTCCAACCCGTCTAGGAGCTGCAGAGTGGAGGGTGGCGCCTCTACCTGCTCTCTTTCAACCATAGCGGTAGTCGCTACCTGCTGAGTTGGTGTCGGAGTGAGTCACCAACTTGCTGAACCGGAACCCCTTCTGCCCTTGTGTTTGGGTTGTTCTTCTGGTTCTTACGACCATCACCCCATTTAGGTGACCCTACTGGTCTATTTCTTTAACGGGGAACACAAAGGCCCTTGACGCGGTAAGGCTACCGTTACTTGCCAAGGCGGTCCGATGTTAGGAAGACTCCATTCAAATACAGCCGAATTAACTTTCTGGCTGCAAACCAGTCAATGAATACGGGAGTCACAGCTCTTGGTCGTCGCACACATGCAGCTTCTGCCAACCTCCAGGAGAGATGCCATACAGCATCGCAATTGAACCTATGCACCACGACAGAGGATAGCATATAGCGCTAATTTTTTTTGCTAACAATTAAACACATCTTTCTTTAAATCGACCTTAATCTAATCTAATTTAAATCGACCATAGATTTTCAATTGGGCGCAGATCAGGCGATTGTAGAGATCAGTCCATCAAGACTATCTGATTGTCCTTACACCACTTACGCGACTTTTTCCTTGCATGCTTTGTATCATTAATCTGCTATATAGTCCAAATTAACGACATTTTCTCTCGAGCATATGGCAGCTACACCTTTTGCAAAATATCAGCCATACTGAGAATGCCGTGCTGTGCACTTATCACCTCGTGAAAGGCTGTTTCGGTTGACCGGTCCTTTATGCACGCATGTGCATGAACTTCGCTAAGTTCTCCGCCATTATTGTTCTTACGTGTAAATCTATTAGCCGTTCTAGTACCTTCAGCATAAAGGAGGTAAGGCTGATATGTCTAAAATCCTTGGCATTCTCGTGTGTTCTTCTGCCTGGTTTTGGAAAGAACACAACTTTACTTCTTTTCCAACTTCTTGGGATGTAAGATAGTTGAATGCTAGCTTTATATTTATTTTCAAGCCTTTGAAACATTGGTTCTACCAGTTTTTGCAGCATTATGGGCATAATCCCGTCAGGACCTGCCACTTTAAATGGTGCAAAACTATTTACGGCATATTTGATGTTGTCTCTGTCTAAAATCTCTCTGTCGGTAATCAGCTGTTCTGGTTGAACCCTCGTTAAAGGTGTCCCTCCGCCTAAGGTAGGCAGTATTAATATGATCTTTGGATAGCATTTTGCCCAGTCTAGCAGTTTCTCTGCAACTTTCTATCGATATGCAGAAAGATCCCAATGAGTCGATTTTAGCTTTCCTGACTGCTTTCATGTATCTTTTCATAATATCTTTATATGGCTGCCAGATTTTGGTTCTAAAACTCTCATTGAAAGCTTTCCTTAGTTGTGTTCGCAAATTCTTGAGTAGACTTTCTCTTTTTCAAAACTGTTAGCGGAGTAGTTTTATTGAAAGTTGTGGCTAAGATTTTTTCCAACTTTTCTACTTCTGAATCTAGTTCCTGAGGATTTCTAATATTCTTATTGCCTCCCTTTTCGAGATATTTTGTTGCTATACTCGTATATTTTCCCCACGCTGTTCTTCTAGGGTTCCAATATTTGAGAGGAGCACTATATTTCTCGCGGATGCTGAAGAGTATCCAGTCCAGTCATCCGACATGGAGGCTCATCGGATACCCTCCAGTTATCCACAACGAGACTGTCTGTGTCTGATGATAGCGTGAGGTCCAACGCTTCCTCCCACCCCGGAAACCTATCAGAGCTTGGGAAAATAAAGGTTGGCTTGTCGCCCCTGTTGCATATACTTATATTGCTGTTCAGAAGTGACTCACGCCGGGTGTTTATACTGGAGCTACCCTATACAGTGTGCCTTGCGTTTGCATCACATCCTCTTAGGACATCTTCCTTCCTGTTTTCCTCCACTAGTCTGGTGAGCGGGGCCGGTGGTATGTCTTCGTCATGGGCAAAGTAGACCGAGACCAAGAAGAAGGGCTTTTCCTTCTGTTAAACCTTTACCACTGTGATATCTGCTGTGCTGTAATTAAGACAAAGAAATGCATTTATACTTCTATTGATAAGAATGCATTCCCAAGGTTTACCTTTGTTCCGTGTGTAAAAAAGGTTATAGTTGCTGCTGTTTAGCCCTTTAATGGTGTCTTCATTGACCCAGGGCTCCTGTATAAGGCTGATGTCGATGCCACCCTCGTTCATGAGGG